GCGGCACGAACTTTTGCATGAGCCACCATAGCAGCTATGATTTCTTGCGCACCCTCCCGAACTTGAATATGATCCCCTTCCATCACAAACAACTGAAACAGAAAACAAGATAACTTAAGTTACTCTTGCCGGCATTTACAAAAAATAACATGGTCTACAATCAAGACACACGAACTCACTTCAGGATGACTGCCCAGAAAAACATCAAGTTTTCCATGCTTATTCTCATAATCAGACCAATGCAGGGGCGCAAGCATTTTGTTGAGCCTACTCAAAAGCTGTCAAAAGAGATCACCAGCTACTTCAAACCGGGAAGAGTTACATCGTGAGATATAAAAAAGTAGGATTGGGTTCAGGGAAAAACCGCAAGGAAATGAAAAACTGAGGAACACCCAGGTTATCGTTCATCTGACAATATGCACATGTGCATACAAGTAATTTGTAAGCAATTTGTCCGGTTTGCAGACGTCCATAAAAACCAAGAAACAGCTTCAATTACTTGTATGCACATGTGCATATAGTCCAGATAAATGGTTACCGGGGTGTTCCTATTTCTTCATTTTCTTGGGGGTTTCCCCTGAACCTAATGTGTAAAATTTGATGTTATAGGCCTTCTAAGCCCTCAGTACCACACTGGCAACATTCGCAAATATGGTAGCCACATGTTAAACACAATTGTTACTAACCGTTGAGCTGATTTGTATTCTGCCTCCAGGACCAGGTGGTATTGTCCGAACAACACAAGCCAACAAAGTTTCTTCATCAAAGAGAGCCATATCTGCGGTCTTTCCTCCTAACAAAGGGCTTTTCTGTCCAGTAGAGACATACCCTTCTGGCGTGGTGGCCTTGTTCACTGTGGGGTCGCTGGCCTTTACTGAGCAAATAACTTCAGAGGCAATGGCAGCAGAGCCAAGAAATTCCGTGGTTGAATTTTGAACCTCACTTCCATGGTTAGACAAAAAGTTCCCATTTATTTCCTGTGCTAGTCAATACCCAAGATCAGCATACCATCTTAAAAACCTAAATCATATGGGATAGATGGCAGTTAATGCAAACATAAGACTAACCTGGTGCACATTGTCAGAATGATTCAACCTCAGGGAGGCATGAAATTGAGAAGAGATTTGTTGCAAGCTCTGCTGTCATTTGGCATTTACAAYGTAGCTATAATCAGTTGACTCAAAAATCTGAGAAACTCATGCAGATTCACAAAGATAATTCAAATGAAAACATTTGAAGCCTAACAAGCTTATTTATATTTTATACYACCTGTTCTTCCTCATTTGGTGAAGACGGGACAGAATGGGCCTCCAGCCCCTGGCTGATATCCGAATCCAAAAAATCAGAACGCAAAGCTTGCCCATCTACAGACGCTTCATAGTTGTAATTAGTTTCTGGTCTCAATGAATTCTGATCATTATGGGAAGGGTACTGTTCATGGTTTTGCATCTGTAARCTTTCTGTGAAAGCCTGTAAGAAATGTAAGGGATAAGCATATAACATGAACAACGTCTCAAGTAGAAAGTGCAAAAGAATATATCTGCCCACACCTGTTGATTCTGCCAATGTGGGAGGGACGAGTTCGCAGGTACCGAATGGAACTGACCAACATGAGATTGGACAAGATGTGAATTTGCATTTTGKGGCAACCCTTGATGATGCAAAATAAATGGATGTAGAGCTGCCAACTGTCCAGGTGGAAAGTAGGTTGGCAGTCCATGTAATGATTGAGGAGCCATTTGAACCGCAGGGATGTTGTCGGTCTGAAATACATATTGACATAAATAATTATTCAATGTTGGCCTCTAGGTTCAAGAAAACCAAACAACTTTTCAAGGGATAGATCAGTACCCTCCATAAACAAAATAAAATATAACAATTTCTGATACATACCTCCATATGCTAGACCATAATACTATGCAAGAAACATGACTCACCCAACAAAATTCCCAATGAATACAAAACAAAAATGGCTTGTGTGAGAAAAATGTTGTCAGAGTCTAGTACTGATGTGTAATGGCTTGTTCTCAGGTGTTGTGTTCTTAGTATTTAGTGGTGTGTCCCCAGTATATGATGTTTTTCCCTTTTGGTAAGACGAGTTTATGTAACCCCAAAAATTACTATTCGGAAATGACAAAACAATAATATCGGCATCTTGGGTAAATTCTCATAGAGGATGAGTTGCCTAAGAAAAGAATCTGAGATCTTAAACATACTTGTTTCCTACCTTCCATCATTCATCTCCAACTGCAGGAACAGACACCAAAAAAATATACCTTATAGTCTAAGTTATCTAACCAATTTTTGACGGACAATATGAACATTGTCAGATTATTAGCAATATACTCAAAAGAAGAGCAAAAGCCATTTTTCCTTTGTCCAGATATATATGAAGATAAAATCAATACCTGCAAATAGTTTGTTGCCCCCATTGGCCTATTATAACAGGTGAGCCCCCTGATGATACATCCTCTTATAAAACAATGCTACTGTTCTCTAATATACATTAACCCTCAGACATGATCCAAGAGACATGAGATGGGTTAACAGATATTAGATAACAATAGCATTATTTATTTTATAAGAGGATGTATCATCAGGGGTCACCACCAACGGAGAAACTATTTACAGGTATTGATTTTATATTCATATAAATTTGAACAAAGCTAAAAACAGAACTTTGTATGTTAGACTTTAGATATTTACCCTAACTTGGAACCCAAAATTGTGGATAAATTTTATCATAAATAGTAAACAGAAGATACCAGCATCTACCTGTGCAGAGACAATTTCTGCATCCCCGTTCTGGAGACCCCTTGAATCACCAGCAGGGCTGCTTCCTCCACTAGCCTCCAATTGACTTCCATTGCTATGTAGAAAATGAGATGTGTCCTTTACATGCGTTTGAGTTGTACGTGACCCATCAGAGTAAGTGCCGCTCCTTTCTCTTGCCTCAGACAACTCAATCTCCAGCTGTTGTAGTGTGTGCATATGAAGTCTTTCCATCTCAGAAAACTGGCACACATCATACTATAAAGTTACCAACTGTGGACAACTAAATGTTTACTTAAAATCAACTGAAATGAACATGGCACACACATCCATTATTTGGCAAAAAAGAATCAATGAATATAAGAAATAAACAATCAACTACAAATATCTCTGTAAACTGCAATATTACTTCTGCAACTTAAATTAACCTGTCTCTGGCAACCAATCCAAAGCTGGTTGTATTGTTCAGTGCGCTCTCTCAACTCAGCCTGCAAAGAGTGATTGGTAGTTGACTGCAAGGCGTCCATCTCCTGAACTCGTGCAATCCAAGCTTGTGCTTCTCGTATTTTTTCATCTTTATATATGAGAGTTTCTTGGGCAACTCTATGCTGGAAGAGATGACACAGGTAAGAACATTATTTCACAAAGAATAAAGAACAGGGAACCCATAAAACCAATGAGCTTTGAAGCGTTTCCTCCATATTCCATTATAGCAGCAAATAACATAGTAAATCATAAGCAGACATAAGAGAGTACCTGTTCCTGCAATTCAATAAACTGTCGCTCCTTTTCTTGAATATGTTCTTGTAGGTCATGAATTTTTTTAAGATGTTGAGCCCTTTCAGCTTCAGAATTATCACGCTCTCTCCTGTAAATGCATACAATCCAACTTTTTTATTACAATCATCAAATATAACATATAGATATGAATATACATATATTTCAAGAAAGTGCCAAGGTAAGCAATACAAGCAGAAACAGTCAAACTTCACCATGGTCAGGCTTATCTTACTCATTTAGCTCATTCCACAAACAACACTAAATAAGTGTAAAAAATCTAGTGTGAAGTGCAAATTCCATATGCTTTGTTATTTGATAGATGCGTAAATACAATGAATTGAACAAGGGGGAAAAAAGAAAATTCAGGTTGTATATCACCAGGCTAAAGAATCGGCTTCAGCTGGTCATCTGACTTGCCCATAAAAATGCATCAAACAACATATGCAATTGGAAAGTAATCAGGCCCAAAAAGATGCAGATGATAATTTCACCAGCCAAAGACACTTGTAAGAATCACGAGAATCAGAAAGACAAGATAAGTTTAAAGATATACCGAAAGGTTGCAAGTTCTTTGTTTTGCTCCCGTAAGAGGTCCTCTTTGGCCCATGCCTATACCAATAGAAAACAACCATTATATTAAAGAATGATATATCAGAATCGTGTGACGAAATGTTTAGGTACGTACCGCTTCATGGTCTATTCTAATTGCATGGAGCTCCTTATCTTTATCGTCCAAAGTCCTTTGTAAGTCCATTATAGCTTTTTCCCTTTCATGTAGTTGCTCCTTTATGCACCCCACATTCTAGTGAGCCACACAACTTCATTTAAATAGAGACATAAATTATAGGACCAATTCTTAAAATACCTGAAGTTTGACAGTTGCAGTAATTTGCTCTTTGATCTGTGAATCAAATCGTTCTTGCATCCCCATTACTTCTGATCTAGCTATGAGCCGAGCTTTTAGATTAACCTCCAGATGCTGAAGTTGTTCTCTTTGTTTCACAACATCATCAAGATGTAATTCATGATCAGAACCTCCATCAACACTTATCGAAAAGAAGTCCACATTCACAGGTTCTCTACCCTAGTGCAACATAACATTCAACAAATCACACTCCTTTCCATCCTACTTGATTGGAAAAAAAAACAAAAAACAAAATCACCAACTCAAAGAAACAAGCATTGTACCTCATACATCAGTCTCTCATCACCCTGCCCTAACTTTGAACGGTCCACCTCCTAATTACCAAAAACAAGTAAAATGTACACGAAACCAGAAACCAGAAACCAAAATCCAAAACCCTAACATTTGCGAAAAGAAGAAAATAATGAAAGTATTAGGCAACAGATTTTACCTCGTTGCCGGAGCTTTGAACAGGATGATCAGAAACAACACGCCATTCTTTCCGAGAAGACTGAGATTGAGAAGATGGCATCGTGATAGAAACCCCACGTGCTGCGACGGCGACACTAGCGGCCGCCTCCATCGAAAAATCAAACTAACACCCACCGTCAACCCCCAATTAACTCTTACCTTTGAAAACCCTAACAAGGAATCAAAAAGAAACCTAAAAAAGGAGAGTGATTTGATGTAACAAAGATTAAGAACACGAAAACCCTAGTTAATCAAGTCAAAAGGAGTTGGATAAAATCGAAGCGCTGAATGCAGTAACAACTGTGGATTATGCAAGAGGGTGTTCGATTCCGGGATTGAATGCAAGGGTTTTAGTTTAGAAAGATTGGGGAAATAATATTTCAATTATATCCGATCAACTAAAACCTAAATATTTTATAATCAAGTATTTTGTTCACATAATTAATATTAAATTAAACTTATTAAAATAAAGTAATTGTTAGGGTTGGATGTAAGATTTTCACGTAGTAGATATGGGGGAATTTTTAACGGAGGATGAGCTCCCGCCATTTATATCTATGGACCTCTCTCCCACGCGCCTTTTGTTGTCCGTGTATTCACTCGCTGCGTTTTTACCGATTTCCGGCCCAAGGCCCACTTTGCGTTTTTCGGGCTGATCCAGCCTTTTATAATTTGGACTCGGTCTCTGTCGTGTCGGGTATGACCCGTTTTAATTTTATTTTAGGATAAATTATAACATACTCTTTTTAAGAAAATAGCTTAAAAATCTATAGAGGGGGCTTAATACTTTATATATTTTGATAACTGTGATAACTTTTATTTTAAGGTATTATTTCATATAATTTATTATTATTTAAAGATGGTATTTAATGTACCTATGAACATATATTTGTTTAATAATCTGTTTGTCTCATATGTATGTGGTTCACACTATGAAACTTTTTACGTGTAACTGGATTTTTTTGTTTTCAAATTTATAGCAGAAGAATTAAACAATATATTTATCATAATCGTAACAATTTAAATATATAACCACTAATAGAGTGTTTGGTTAGAAGTATTAAGCAGCAATCAATGATAATGAAAATAAAAGAAGTTTTTTGGTCTTCTATAATAAAATGTGTTCATTCCTCTAGAAGTCCAAAATTTCATTCCTAGTTAAACTGGGAGGAATGAAAATTCTTTCTCGTTTTTCATTTGCATTCCTTATTTTATTCCCCAACCTGAAGTAACCAAACAGACACTAGTTTTATATTAATACTATCATACGTAAGACTTAGTTAATGAAGCTTAAAACAACAAAAGCAACCATCGTTGTAACCAGAGTTTTCCCTCTTCAACAACATAAAGAAGGTTCCATGGAATATCCTTTAGTTTTCATCGTAAGAAAAGTCATTTATTTATATCAATTCTTAAAAGGAAAAAAATGATGTTAATGATGTCGTTTTATTGGGGTAAATTGCATAAAAAATTAGTGTATGTTTTAGGTAATGTATTTTTAAAACTTTTATTTTTGTAATTGACATATAAAGTTTTACACATTTAAGTACTCGGATAACCGATTGAATGATTAATCGGTTACCATAATGATGTGGTGAGTGATGTGGTATCCGGTTAATACTTCAGCAAATAATATTGAGTTGGATACCATATCACTCGTCATATCAACATGGTAACCGATTAGTGTTTCAACCGTTATCCGAGTATGTAAATGTTTAAAACTTTATATCTTATGCACCAAAATATAAGTTACGAAAATATGTTACTCAAAATATAAATCAAGTTAAAGTACATTGTTTTTTTTTTCATGAAATTTGCACCTTGACTTGCTACCCTTTTAAAAAAGCATATAAAAAAGAAATGAGTTTAAAGAAAACCTTTTAGATAGTTTAACTTCTAATCTATATATCGGTCACTAATTTATCAGTTGGTCATAAAATATAACACGTATTATTAAGAGTGTTTGAGAAAATGCAAATTAATATGGAAAACAAGATTAATCGTGCAATATGGTTTGGTTTCCGTTCAGAAAAATGTTATTGTTATACTTTGTAGGGCTTAAATCATTTGAAAAACCTGTACATCGTGATAATTGTGAGAGTTATTATTATAAGGTATTTTTTCATATAAATTTTTTTCCATCTAATGCTAAAAGCTAAATATATTGATTAACATAAAATTGTTTCATATGTATTCGATTCACAATGTGAAACTTTTTAGTTGTAAATTTTGTTTCACGAACATATAAAAAGTGCTCACATTGTGAGACAAATATAGGTGAACCAAACACATTGTGGAATACATATATGTTAATCAATACGCTAAATCAAAGTCAGGTGGAAAAAAAATTAATATGAAATAACACATGATGCACTGATTATCAATGATATCATAATTTTATGAGCTCCTCTCATGCTCTCTCTCTCTGTATGTATTTAATCATATGTGTAATTAATCATTATATTGGTAACCGTTTGAAATGCGTAAGGATCGACATTGATGAAACTCTGGATGTATGGTTTAAATACTGAAAATACAAAATTATTACTTTTGATGACAGATTCAAGTATTAACCTGGTATTGTCATAAAAACCAGGTATGAATCGGTCACTTGGACATGAAATGGGACGTTATGGGTCATTTATGTTTAAAAAATATATTATTAATTATATAACATTTAACTGTTGACCAGTGACCGGTTAAATTATGACTCAACTTTTTTTGCTAAAAATGACCAACCTTTTTAGGATTGGTTAAATCTCGATTTATTAAGGTTATTTGGTTGATTCTCTATTAAAATCTGCATGAATGAAATTGTTCATGTGAATTAATTTATATACATAGATTGATAAAGTTTTTGTTTGATAGAGTTTTCCATCGACAGAGAGAGTGTTTTTGATTGGAAATGTCATATTTGAAAGAAACTTGCATTTTTTCTAAAAGCTTACTGAAAAAACCACTATAAAACAACCATGTATAGTTCAAGACACATAAGTTGTAAGCCTCAGTAAACACACTAAGCTACTAACAAACAAACCTTAACATTAGACACAAATGCAGTATCTTAAAGTTGGTGGATGGCCCTATTAATTTTTGTCTCTTTTATATAGGTAAATATATATATATTTTTTTTTGGTTTCTACTATAGGTCCCTCAATAATTTTCTATACGTTCCCATCAACAAAAAAATACCTCGAAATCAACCAAAAAACTGAAAAGTCTGTTAAATAAAAAAAATCCGAGAAATCAACCAAAAAAACTTTAAAATCCTTCAAAACAATAGAATTACACCACTTAGGTGGCGTTTTTTTTTTTTTTTAAAGGTGTTGAAGTTTGAATTCACTTTTGACTTGTAAGAAGTGATTCTAAAATCTGAAACATGGATCAGTAAGATTGTTTGTTTTTACGTATGAAGTTTGAATCGGTCAAACTCGTGAAAAAATATAAAAGATAAATATTTTTTACAAAAGTATAAAAGATAAATAGTTTTTGCTAACAAATCTCTTACGGTCCATAAAATATGAAATATTTGGTAGAGGAAAGATTATGATTAAAAGGTATTAAGAAATCCATTTACCACTTAAAAAGTTTAGAGGACGTTTAGAGATTTTAAGAGTCTTATTTTAGAACAAACACCCTCTTAATACCTAAACATCTAAATGAATCAAACTTAGGGGTGTTTGGGATTGCTTATTTGAAACAGCTTATGCTTTTCTACAAAAACATTTATTAACTTATTATAACTCATAAAGATTTAACTTCTTCAAAAACCATTTATCACCGGTTTGGCACCGGTATAAGTTATTTATCCAAATACTTAAAAGTGTTTATTACCGATGTCATACCGAATTAAGTCAATAAATTATTTTTATAAGTAATGTCAATCACCCGAGGAGTATTGAAAAGTAATTTTGAAAAAACCAAAGATACCGTTAAACTTTTCGGGTCAAATATGAGCAATGCAGGCGGACCCATTTGTCGAATTGTGCATGTCTGAAAGTACCCACCAGCAATAGGCAGTAGGCAATAGGCAATAGTAAATAGTCATGGATAGGATATTGATGATGATACATGCGAACCACCATTAATGTAATCATCATTCAATTCATCTTTTCCTTTGGTAGAGATGGTTGTTTAATGTGATCATCTTCAAAATTTAATGCCTTCATCTTACTTCTGCCCATAAAACTCACATCTAAAAATGGCAACAAAATCGTTTTGACTCTTTCTCTCTCCATTGAAATCATCTACATATATATATAATGCTATATATCTATAAATCCGTCATCTTCTATGCTCACTTTCTAATCATGACTCTGATTTTGCTCTAGAAAAATCTCTTTTTTGCCGTCGATGGGGCATTGCTGTAGCAAAGGCGCCGTCAAAGAAGACGTTAACACTGGATCAATCGCGGGTGTCAACTACCAGAATGAGCGTCCAAGTCGGAAACCGCCGACTCCCGCTGGCGACACTCCGGTTCACTCTTTCACCGGTAGTCCATGGCAGATCCCGTTCCCGGAGGGAGTTGGGGCTACTCCTTCACCGGCGGGGACACCACGACGATCAATGCTGAAGTGGCCGTTTCCACCTCCGTCTCCGGCGAAACCAATCATGTCGGCGATACGGAAACGACGGGAGATAAAAAAGGAAAAATCGAAGATTCCAGAAGAAGAAGGGAAGGAAACAGAGATATCATTGGATAAAACTTTCGGGTATTCTAGAAACTTCCGATCAAGATATGAGTTGGGGAAGGAGGTGGGAAGAGGGCATTTTGGTCATACTTGTGTAGCTAAGTGTAAAAAGGGAGCTCTCAAGAACCAGTCTGTTGCAGTTAAAATTATATCAAAATCTAAGGTATTCAACTATTCATTAATGAATTCTTAAATTACCCAGAACAAATTTCCGTGAAATATGGTGAAAATGAAGCTAACGACGATGGTGGATTTTAGATGACAACGGCTATATCGATCGAAGATGTTCGTAGAGAGGTGATGTTATTAAAAGGGTTATGTGGGCATCAACACATGGTGCATTTCTATGATGCATTTGAAGATGATCAGAATGTGTACATAGTAATGGAGTATGCAAAATCACCTCTCAAGTCTTCTTGGCTTTCTATGCAAACATATTCACTTATGCATATTCACAAGTGATTATGATGAATAATCATACTTCTTCTTTTGTGTGACAGATTGTGTGAAGGGGGGGAGCTTCTTGACCGGATATTATCCAAGGGTGGAAGATATACCGAAACCGATGCTAAATCGATAGTTATGCAAATTCTGAGTGTAGCTTCATTTATTCATCTTCAAGGAGTTGTGCATCGTGATTTAAAGCCAGAGGTACCGGTTAAATTCACAATCTCTTTCATTTAAGCAATAATCGGATGTTGGATTCACTTGTGATCCAATGTATAACGGTCTCGAGCTTCGTTTTAACTTCCAACATTTGCAATGATGCTTGAACAGAACTTTCTTTTTAGCACAAAAGATGAAGCTTCTCCAATGAAGGTTATCGATTTTGGTTTATCCGACTTTGTTAGACCAGGTAAGTTGCCTTTTTAATTTTATTCGACTTTAAAGTAAGCCAAATATGTCTTAATAGACTGCTTTATATGACTTAAGTTTATACGACCAAAAAGACTGGTTCTTGTTTATCTACAGATCAAAGGCTGAATGATATTGTCGGCAGTGCATACTATGTTGCACCTGAAGTGCTTCATAGATCGTATAACGTTGAGGCTGACATGTGGAGTATCGGGGTTATAACGTACATATTATTATGTGGAAGTCGACCCTTTTTTGCTAGAACTGAATCGGGTATATTCCGTTCAGTGGTAAGAGCTGATCCAAATCTTAACTGCTCGCCTTGGCCTTCCGTGTCTCCGGAAGCCAAAGATTTCGTCAAAAGACTCCTTAACAAGGATCATAGAAAACGAATGACCGCGTCTCAAGCTCTCAGTAAGATATATTTATCCATCTTTATAGGAGCAGATTCATTTGATAACCAAGCAACCAGTGAATATTCATAATGAATGACATAATTATCCATGATGTTCATTATGAATTTTTATGTTATTCATTAGGAATATGCATGATATTCATTGGTCTGTTCTCAAAATATCTACGATTCCTAAATAAACTTTCCTCAGTCTTCATAAACCTCGACAAGTAACAACATATAATGCGATCAAACGCATTTGCAGCACATCCATGGTTGAGAGATGAAAACCATGATGTACCATTGGACATTCTGGTCTACAAATTGGTCAAGTCGTATGTTCGAGCCACGCCTTTAAGGCGTGCAGCATTGAAGGTATATATACGCATAGGGAGGTAAAAACCCGGTTCTTTTTTATTGAGTTTTTGAAGCTTTTTTCCGCTTGTTTTCGAATGTTGCAGGCTCTCTCCAAAGCTTTGACAGAGGATGAACTGATATACTTAAGTGCCCAGTTTAATCACTTGGAACCAAAAGACGGGTGTGTTTCACTCGATAATTTCAAAACGGTCTGTTGCTGATTCTTCGACTTATTGCATCTTTGTAGCGATACGTATTAAACTCCTCGTGATCTTAGATATCCGATTCATATATGTGTATGTAGACCTCATACGGTGTAAACTTGTAGGCTCTTGTGAAACATTCCACTGCTGCTATGAAAGAATCGAGAGTGCTTGATATCTTGGAGAAGGTAAAACTCACAAAATCGATTTTTTAGGACGTCAAATATGTCTGGATGTCCTAATAGACTGCTTTATATGACTTAAGTTTATAGAATCAAACAATTGTTCGTCATATGTAAAGGTGTTACAATAACTTGATAAGATGTTTTTGGGCTCGTGACTCGTTTCTTTTAGGAGACTTTTAAAATCAAACGTATTATTAGTCTTTTTATGACATTGTTTGAGTAAAGATGTCTTATAAACATAAATGTCCAATAAAAAAGATTGTTCTTTCTGACATTTTTGTCCAGTAAGAAAATTAATAGGACATTTTGTTTTAAAAGTGTACTAAAAACTTGTTACGATGTCTCAGTACGTTTAAAAATCCTATTATTTGGTCAATAGAGCAGTTTGTTGTGACATTTAAACATATTTGACATCCTATAAAGTTGATTTTGTTGTAGTGACACATCTTGATGTCTCTGGGTTTTTACTATGTTTGGCTCGTAATAACAACAATGGGTTGGGTTCTATGATTGCAGATGAAGCCCCTATCGTATACTCAAATGACGTTTGAAGAGTTTTCCGCAGCTGCAATCAGCCCGCATCAACTCGAGGCTCTTCAAGGATGGGAAGCTATCGCAAATACGGCTTTTCAGTACTTTGAACTCGAAGGAAACCGCACCATTTCTATAGAAGCATTAGCACAGGTGCTGACTTTAAACCTCTCTTCTTATGCTACAATTGCAACAAAATTGGTTTTATAGGACGCCTAGATTGTCAAAGTGTCATAATTGAATACTTTATAGAACTTAAGTTTATAGGACCAAACTCTAAAGCGTCTTATCCAAAGAGTGTTACAATAGGTTTATATGATGTTTTTAGGTATTTTAAAAAGTTTTTAGGATGCTTTTAAAATAAAGTGCTTTTGAAAAGTGTCCTATAAACCCGTCTTTATAGGATACTTGTGTTCACAGGACACCTTCAAATAGTGTCGTATAAAATAGTTGCTACGTTATTTTAGTTTTATAAACATCCTAAAAAACTAGTTAAAACGCCTGAAAACATCCGATAAACCTATTGCAGATATGAAGTTTTTTGGTTTCGTCCTATAAACTCACGTCATATAAAGTATTTTTACGACTCCTCTACATTTTAGGTGTCCTATATAAAATCAATTTTGTTGTAGTGTACACTCTCAAATGTTTGTTTCTTTTTTAACAAATGGCCATTGGCTCGGCAGTACCCGAGTTATTGGCAGACCCCAATCTTTCACGAGGTCATGGGTTCAAATTCAATAAAAGTGAAGTTATATAAATATTATATACTTCAAATATGTCGGTTTTTTGAGTATGGTGTCGTGCAGGAAATGAACGTGGGCGAATCTACTCATTCGACACTGAAGGATTGGATACGGAGCAGTGATGGAAAACTCAATTTTCTTGGATATACGAAGTTTTTGCATGGTTTGTCAATTCGTAGTTCCAACACGAGACAACAACAATAACACCGCGAATTCTAGTTTTCTTTCGTGTACAATTGTGTTGTACGTTGGTCGATCGTCATGCCCGACAGTCGTCGGGTTTGATAAAGTCTTTCAGAAGTTATAATTTTCATTTATTTTAAAATATATTTCGTTGCCTAATTTCAGTCTTACAAGTTACTCATCGAATACCATTCTTGATCACATGGAACACCTCTACCAATTCCCATTCTTTCTCACATTATAACATCAAAAGCGTATCAAGTTAAACAAGAAAATTATATATATATATATATATATATATATATATATATATATATATAATCACAATGTGTTTGTTTTACATGTATTGAACTTTTTTTTGTCGTGTTTGTGAAACAAAAAATACACGTAAAAAGGTTTCATATTGTAAACCGGACAAATATAAAACAAACATAATGTGAACAAATATATGTTGATCAATACATTTACTATAACTAAATGAAAAAAAATGAAATAAAATAAAACTTTAAGATAGAATTAAGTTGTGACGGATGTCATAAATTTTAGAGCTCTTAAGCCCTATATATATATATGAATGTATATATGTTACATTTGATCTGTGTTTCTTGTTTTTGTGGTTTATATCAATCAAACTATATAAATTTACAGACCCATCTCCTAAAACTAATAAAGAATAGCACCCAATTAAGATCTAGAATTGAGCCAGGGAAAAGATGGTATCTTGATCAATCTTTGAAGCAGCATATATGATGATGGTTATGATGATGATGGTGATGATGATGATGATGATGATGCTGATGATGGTCATGATCAATCAAGCCTTGAACATTACAGAAATCTTGGATATTGCAAGGGATGCTAATGGGTCCTTGATGATGGAATCCGTACTCATTCTCAGCTTCTTTCAAGAGGTCCATGAACAATGGATGGTTGATGTACGTCACTGGTATTATAAATCTCTTCTGTTCTTCACCTTCATGTCCCACCATCACAGCTACATACCCTTTTGGTATATTCATCTTCTGTTCATGATGATGATGATGATGATGTTGTTGTTGATGATGATGATGCAGATGGAAGATGAATGAATACTCTCCAGCACCCATAATCAAGATTCCAGAATACCAAAGACTTGTTCTCTCTTTTTTTGGTTTTCTGGAGAACCGAGCGCAGAGCTTGAAGAATGAAGAATGAAGAATGAAGGTGGGTGAGATCCATATATATATATATTGGGGATAAGGGTAAGAGTGTAATTTAACAATTGAGGGTGTTGATTCTATATAAGGATGGTATTTGACTTTGATTACACGCGAAGGAAGGAGGAAATGGGGCGGGTTTTAACTGGATACGGAAGCGGGCCAAGACCGTGTAAAGTCGGGTGGGCAATTTGGTATTTTTATAAAAGAGAATATTCCTGAAGTCAAAATGGTTTTCTTAAAAGAGAAGGTCTTCGTCTTTGCATAAAATAAATAAATAAATTAATATTTGGAAAATAAAATATGTAAAAAGTCAATGCAAGGAAGAAGGAGAGGAATTCCAACTTTCAAGCATGTAAGGAAACGACACGTGGGATTGAAGGGTAGGTGTCATCTGTCATCATACATAAAGTCTTGGTATTTGACTTTATATATGCAAGAAGGCAAAGTGGCAAGTGTTTTTTGAAAGGGAAAGTAAAAAAGTGGCAACTAAAGAAACCTTTTTAGCAAAACATTCAAGCAAAAGTAGAAAGTGGCAACTGCTTAATAGACTTTTTTTTTTTTTTTTAATTTAAATAAAGCATTCTAGAAGTCGTAAATTTTATCGTTGTAAGACGGGTTTTTTATGGTGTAATATACTGTGACATGTTTTTACGGTGTTATAGGTTTGCAGCTTGTAACCAATGGTGGGACATGAGCCTAAGAACCTAAGGGATCGAACCTAATCTTCTACAAATATGTTACGTACACAAGTTCAATTTTTTTTCGTCTTTAGTGTAATAGACATATACCTTAAAAAACTACAAAAATACACCATCCATATTTAAACTCTTAAACAAGACAAGACAGTTATATGAAATCTTCATAATACATCATTCATCAAAGTGGAATTTGTTGATCTTTTACAACCTACAATTTTTGCAAATCTTCTTCCAAACTAATGTTTACATCAAGGCAAAAGATCGTATGAGAATGAGAGATGGAAAAAAAGCAGGATGATACTTACTGGTGCTCTAAGCAGGGAAAGAAAAAAGCAAGGGGGCCATGGCCCCCATTGCCCTCACTGCATACTTTTCATCTGGATATGTCGAAACCGTAAAAAAGTGTCTTGCGACGTTGACTTGTGATTTCTTAGCTATTTTGTGATTTTTTTGGAGATCGATGAAAAGTAAAAGGAAAATTTTCCCCACTTGGTTATTTATGATAACTGCCCCAAGTTTTAACCCTTCACAAAGATTTGTCCTTCGTTTGAGTCAGGACGTGTAGAGATTGGTACTCCGTAAAAAAACATGATTAGATTAAGGGCTTGTTTGTTTTTTGAAAAAAAACCATTTAATGCCTCTTAAGTCTGAACCGGTCAGACGTTTTTATTTTCAGACCGTTTGTTTTTTTTATATAAATAAGAGCTGAAAAGCTCTTAATTTGTTCTGAAAAAAAAGTGATAACATAATCACTTAAATCCTCTTAATCGCTCCCTCCAGACTCTCCCCTCCATCCTCACCTCCAGATTTAGTCCTCCAAATCTATCTCGCAAGACATTCGATCTCCAAATCAATCACGACCCAGATCGATCCACATATTCTCGTAAAATCATGACCCAGATCGATCCAAATCTATCAGATCCAAAACTTGACTGATTCAGATTTCAGATTTCAGACGTAAAAACAAACAGTCTGATTGATTCAGATTTCAGACTTCAGTACCACCTCTTAAAATTCAGAAGTGAAATCAGACTTCAGACTTCCGAACCTCTTAAAAAACAAACGCCACCTAATTGTTTGTGTTTAAGCAGATTAATTGTTTTTTCTTGTTCTTGTATTTTTAAACCTTTTAAAAGATATTCCAGATAATAACCAGTTAGTCCAGTCTTTCGGTAAACAAAAAGGTAGAAGGGCATGTTTGTCTTTTCTATTAAATTTTTTATATCGCATAAGATGATTGAAACATGAACAACATGCATATTATGATTCATCTAATTCAACCGTTCGTAATCCTTGTTTGATGAATAAGTAAAAAACAAATACAATTAAATACCATTTGAGGAAGAAAAAGAAAGAACAAAGAGGCTCGACGACAGGGTCTATCAAATCAATCTGTTTGCGTGGCCAGCCGAGGATCTACTGAAGGGGTGCTTGGTTCATTTCAAAGGAATCGGGATAGAAATGAGAATGGTTATGAAGATGCATGGGAATGTCGGAGAATGAAAAATTGATGTGGGAGTCCAGGGTCTATTGTCCCCGGAGACCTATGATCGGGCTCACAAATGTTGTCGTGCTTAGACACGTGCAACATTGGCTACAAGACTCTGATTCATATCAACGACCAGTCAATTCGAATCTCGAAACGAGAAGCATGCATGTTTTATTTCACTTTCGTGTTTTTTCTGCTAACTTTTACAAATTTTCGTTTAGACTTTTATGCTCGGTCCATAATATTTTTCAAATCCATTTTGTTTTAGCCTTCTTATTTACTTTTTGTTTGCGTAATCTAGATGGTCATTGATTGAATAAAAAAAATCTTTTTTCTTCCAAATTAGAGTTCATTAAGAATTCAATTCGAAGCCCAAAGTTTGGTATTTATGGAATCAACAAACTTTGGAAGAGAATATTTCGGCATTCACAAAATCAACGGGATTAATCTTCAGTTTGATTTAATCCGCTTTCAGACCATCATTACCCACTTCTAAACAATCACTTATTGCATTATATTAAACCAAACATCGATATTTATCCTCGTTCCTATTCTCAAACTTCAATGCATAGAACAAACAAGGGAACTATTTCCCATGCGGGTCGCATCGTAGACAACAGTCAAAGTCGGTATACATTTTACTCTCTTTATTTATATACGAAAATAGATAAGAAAGGAGGGCTGYCGAGGCCCGGAACTTCTCCGAGAGGTTCCTCTCGATATCAAACATCACTTTGCTTACTTCTTTTTCATTAAACCCTTAATGGATTAAGTTGTTTGTTTTGAATACATTTATTTGTTTAAGAGACGACATACCAATGGGTTTGAAGAAGGCAAAAAGAAGGTTAGATTATTTCAGGGGCATTTCTATTATTAATATTGTTTGAGGCAGCCTAGTGTGGACAATTGAGCGGCCCTAGCTTATTCCAAATAGCCATTTTGGCTTAATGGCTTAACAATTAAGCCATAAAGATACACCCCTGTATGGCTGAGCAAATAGGAAGTCGAGACAATTAAGCTCATTAAGCTATAAGTAAACAACACCTTATTCTCATTTCTCAATTGATGGCCAAATCTTTAGCAAGAAGATTAATATGTAAAAGCAGGAGTTTAAATTGTAATTAAATGAACCAATAATGCAAAACATCCAGCACTCTTATTAAACTAGATGACGTTAAATCAAGCAGAATTCTCTCTTGTGTAGGATCTGACTGTGAAAGCCAAGCCCAAAATCATGAAGGGCACCAGAAACTGCAATATCTTAATGAATTCAGGAGTGTTGTCTGAATTGTAGATCTTATCAGTAGATAGAACATAAGCACGTTTCGCTGGAACAGTTGATTTGTCTATCTCACCAATGTAATATTTATCCATCAGAACTCTAGCGTTATCACTGTGCCCGACATCCTCAAAATCAACTGTCGCATCCTTCCCTGAAATATATATAATTCCATGCACCAAACATACCAGTTAAAAAACCAAACTAATTCAGTAAATCCGCTCAAATACCGGAGGTAGCATGTATGCAGACCTTGCATCTGCCCTGGGACAAAATGTGAGTGTGTGCAAAAAACAAGTATACTGAAGATATATCTGCGGAGGAAAAGCTAAGGCGCTGTTTGGTTTATTTTTTATCAAGTCATGTATGAATAAAGCTGTATGTGTGGATTAAGTTTGGGGAAGAGTTGTTTCATAGATGGAAGAAACGTGTTTTTTGATTGGGAGGAGCAGGCTTGATAAAAACTTGGCTTTCTGAATAAAGTTTCCAGAAGCTTACTGAATAAGCCACTTTCTACATAATTAAGCCACTACCAAATAGTCATGTATAGTTGACTGAATAAGCTGCGAGTCCTATTAAGCTCATTAAGCTGCTAACAAACAGGCCCTAAGACTAGTGTATGACAAATAGGTAGATACAATCATACTATAATAGACAAGATAGTGACAAGAATGGATGATGTGCTTTATTTTTTATGATCTGACTCGTAAGAGAAAATTGGTCAAAACACTTGTAATAAGTAGTGAGAGTAACATACCCGTTGCTGCTAGCATAACTTCGTCGCCTCCAGGGTGATCGTCCATGAAGGGGGTTACATCATAAACCTGATACAGTTTAGGTAAGCAAGGCAATGGCATATGGAAAAATAGTATTATAGCATACAGAAAGATTGAGTTGCAGCCAAATGGTGTGGATATGTGAGGATGGTTTTGATGTATTTTCTGACGCACAATTTGGCAATTTTTTCATCTGTCAAGAAGTTGGTTTTTATGGATTTTGTGAACTTTTGACATGGATGGATTTCTGAGTGTCAGTTTTCCACAAGTAAACATTTGGTGCAATGCAAGTTAAATTGTAAATTTGTTCCCTTCCCTCTTCTAATTACAGGGTGAGAGATATATTCTTTACTGATAGCCAACTATGTAAACAATTTATATTGGAAACAGTAATTTATCATATCGTTTCTAAACCCTCTCTTTTGCTTGGATCATAGGAACGTTCCCCTTGGTGCACAGAGCAGAGAAGATTAGAAATACACACAGATACTTGTACAGTTGTATGTGCACACACACACAAGGCCAGTAATCAATAGTTAACTAATGTTGCAGCCTTGCAGGGTTGAAGACCATTATTAGGTAGATCTATTTCCAGAACAACTAGAAAAGATTGAGAAACTTGACTCGGAAAGGACCTTCTAACAAATTTCAATTGGTGTTATGCTATTGTTGTTTACAATTGATGGAGTGATTATTAAGAACACACTTGTAAGAAAAATTCTTATCACATCATTGCCAACTCATCTTATTAAGAACCTCTACAAAATCCCACCATTAATTTTTATTATATATTTTTAAATCAATTAAAAATCTAGTAAAATAACATTTAACACAAAATTTAAGGTAAGAACCAAGGTTCATGTACAAGAACTCAAAGAAAATGGGTGACTGCACAATGGTATTGACTTGTAAGAACTATATTTTTGCTTATAAGATAATGTTACTCTAAGACAATGTTACTGCTCTTAAGACTTCAAAATGATGATGGATGATAGAGCACACTCCAAATAGAACCCAATAAATGCTTAGGCAAGAAGCGGTTCTTCATCGAGAAAGTCCTTTAGCGTAAATGATTTGAACATTTTCACCTAATGATTAAAACTAATAAAATTTTGAGAAGGTTGACTTGAATAGTAGCTACCCATTGCAGCAACTGTTTCTTAAAAGTTCATGAACCTTTGTGGAAAAGCTTGGAGAACAGATGCCAAATGGAAATGAAGCAAGATAGTATTACCAAAGTCAAGGCACAAGATCAATGTCTTTTCTTCACCTTGGGGGGGTTTGCAGTAGATATTGCTGCTTTAAGGGATAACTTACAATGCTAGATGCCTAGATTGCTTAATCTATCGTATTTTCACTGATTATGGAAGCCTATAGACAAAGCTGCTGAGTGCGGAGACTGTGGAGAGTTTCCTAAGGCAGCATCGAAATTACTGAAAACAACTTTGAAATCAAATCTAATAATGATTCATTATAAACTTGTGTCGTTGTAATTCTTCAAATAACACCAAGTCAATACAAAATCACAGGTCAAATGCACCACGACATTGTGTTTCATTATTGTCCGCAATTTAAAATCAATTTAAAATTTATGATTGAAAACCAGCAGTTAGCATCGAAATCTCTCGGTAAGGATTACTCTCTCTTGTTATAAATTCTTCGCCCATCACTACTAGTAATACCATGTAATGCCACTTCGCATAATTTTTAACTAATGAATTACAGATTTACAGTAGCCTACTACTAACATTGAACTTAACAAGCTACAAACCCTCAAAATCAAACATGATTAATTACGAGATGATAAAAATAAAAAAAACTACAAAAACAGTGCAGAATCAGTAAATTTGAAATCAAATCAGAAAACATGGGACCTTTCCAGAGATGATAACCCAGCAGTCTTTGGTTTTGTTGTGCTTAGAGACCTCAGCAAAGACGAAAGTTTTCTGATCTGTAGCCATTACTATATCTGCCACTTCACAAACAACATCACATCAAAATCAACATAACAACGATTCAAATCTAGAAATCACGTATCAATCCAACAAAACAGAGAAAATTAGGAGGATTCAATCTGCTTACAGATGATAGAGCGACGAAGCTTTCGCAACACACACTCTGTATCCCTTCGATACTATTGGACTTCGATTACACGGAAGCAGGTAGAAGCCATGGACGGACATTGGGTATTATTTATACGTGAATAGCTTGCAGCACGCTCATTTTGACTCAATCCCAGCCCCCCTCGATATATAAATATTTAACCCTTTTTTAAATGACGTGAGAATATAAAATCACTTTTAATCTTACCCTATTTTATGAATTACCGTTATTATGGGAATTTGTTTGGTATATCTGTATACTTTATTAGTGTTGATATTCAATTATGATTGATTTAAAGAATATATAACTTTTTTTTTCTTATAGTAACTTTCATTCTCATCGGAACTCAATCCAATATGACAAAGGAGAACTCGGTATTGTGATGAGATGTGTGAATACAATCTCAACCTCAAATCAAAAGTTAAATTAGAAAATTAATAATTTTAGTAATTTGATTTAAAATTTGAAATAAAGAGAATTTCAAGTATTTTAAGAATCTTATATTTTTCTTTACTTTTCTCTCTTATCCCTTCCGACGTGAACATTTCACTGTAATACTCGTTGTATAGTAGTTGTGATGCATTAATTAGGGTCATTTTCTCTATATACCCAGTAAACTTATTGATGTCCACTGTGATACCTAATATATACATGTCATGATACCCTAAGATACACAATATGATATATTGTAAATAACGAAAACACATAACGTGATACAAATGAAACAACCAAAATTCACGTTATGTTACCGGCATCAAAGGTTCAAAAATATTACATTGTGGAGAGTTACGAATTTCATAATTATGATAGTTATTTATTTACTATTTATGAAGAGAATAAATTAATTAAACATATTTAAGAGTTATATTTTTTTATTATTAAATTATTATTATTTATTTAATAAATAATATAATTATATTAAAGCAGTGACTCATATTGAATCTTAGGAATTCCATCAAATTTATAATTCTTATTTAATCACCTTTATTATATAATAATTATTAAAAAAATAAATAGGTGGTGACATAATAGAATAGAATTGTACCAAGAAAAAACAACATAACAAATTTATTTAAATATTTAAAAAATTAAAATATAAATAAAGTCGTAATGTGGGGGTAGATGGGTGGGTTATGTAACTGGAAGTCTGGAACGCCATCCTTGAAACCGAATGATAGGCGTGCATAAATTGGGAAACGACAAAATAAATATTGTTAGATTGTTTTTACTTTTTAAAAGTATATTACGTTTTTAGACCTTGTGGTTCGTTAAAATTTTCCATTTTCGTCCTTATAATTTTAAAATTTTAATTTTTATCCTTATAGTTTAATTCATTACCGAGTTTGGAATATTAAATAGCTTGTATCCATAGAGCATCTGGCGTAACATAGATAATTAATAAATACTTGGATTTTGATAAACTAATTACTTGTTTGCTCAAAATAATTAAAATTTCTAATTTTGATTCGAATGACAGAAAATATGGAGTTGAAGTAACTCACTCAGAACGTTTTTTAAAGGATTACGTGGTACAATTAGATCGAATAAGCCCTTTTGGAATAAATGCTCAGCCGCTTGTAAACCTTCGGTTTTTTGTCCTTGTACTTTAAAACTAATTGTTTTTTTTTTTTCGTTTCTATGGTTTACAGTTCATTTTAGTTTTAATCCTTCATGATTTAAAATGGTATTTTGGATTCAAAGATAAAAATAAAAATGAACTGCAAACAATAAGGATGAAAACTGAAATTTTAAAACCACAGGACAAAATCTGTAATTTTTAACAAACCACATGGACAAAAAGATAATTTACTCCATTTTTAATTTTTATTAATAATATAGAACTAGACCGAAACCATAATGGAATTTTCATTTTCATGCTATAATTGAAAATAAACAATAAAAAGAATAATAATAATAATTTGAAAAATATTCACACAATAAAAGATTGTTTTACTAAAAGAAACTTATTTGATTTTGTTAAGAACATTCGTTAACTTAAAGGTCATTTTAGTCATTTTGTAATTTTTATTAAAAATAAAGAGTTAACATGCAAAATAAAAAACTTGGATACAAACAGTAATTATAAAAAACAAACAAGACTCGAAATCATCGTTTCTGATATTCCTTTTATTTTTCTCTGGCAACCATCGTCATATCATCTCCATTACTACCATCCAAAAATCAAAACCCATAAACCATTAATGGAGGTTGGGATTTCCATTCGACGGGTTCAGTCAACCGAAATAATATCAAAAAATTTAACAATGATGATCGTTAAAAGGATGAGAAAGACAGTTGCATTGGCGCTGGTCGAACAAAGGAGTGGTTTGTCGTTGGAGACTGGTTGCTTGACGACGGCAAGAGGCATATCATCACGATCCAAATGGTCATAATCAATAATTGTGAATGTAAATGAAATACAAACAGCTAGATCTTGTTTTACAAGGCAATCCGTTGTTTGTTCCACAGAGAGCAAAGTCATCACTGGTTCACCTTATTTGCAACTTTTTTAATTACCCCATAGATAACCTTTTATCTAATCAACCGTTCACCAGAAGTTCGCATTTTGTTTTCTTTAAGAAGTTCACCAAATTTCTCTTTTGGACGTTTGGGTTCTTTAAGCAACGCGTGGTTTGAGATGAGGAGGACGATAGGTTAACAGGGACGACGAAAAAGAACAGTTGGTGAGATTAGGTTAGGATTTGTTTTTTGTTTTCAAATTTTTTTTTTTTGATGATTTATACACAAACTTTAATGAATTGTATATTGAATAGAGTATTGTCCATTTTCTTTGCTTTTGTCCCTACAATTTGTCTATTCTGAGTTTTCTGTCATTTTTTGCTCGGATCTGGACCCAAGTGAGGGTATTCTAGTCTTTTTTTCTTTTCATGAATGAAGTAGATGATTGGTCCATATAATTTACATTTTTATTGAATAAAAATCACTAGGGACTTGGGACATGTGGTTCACATGTTCTGTTATCTTTGAGTTTACCCTGAAAGCAAGGAGATTTGCAATCGTTTTTTAAAAACTAAAATTGTTAAAATACAATTTAAGTCGGATTTTCAAAAAAAAAAAAATTACGGATTTTGAATATGTGGTTTGTATTTTTTGCTCTCCTTAAGTCCACTCTGAAAGCGACTAGATTCGCAAAGTGTTTTTAAAAATAAAAAATTGTTAGAATATAATTTAAGTCGGGTTTTCATCTATCAATCATCAAAGCAACGAGATTCACGTAATATTTTTAAAAAACGATGAAAATAATTTATGTCCATTTACACCAGCGTAGTTTAATTCTTAACTTCAACAACCCTAGTATTCGGGCTGACTATCAACTCCTTTAATTATCCCGACTCTTATCACGAGAAACGTCTCCTTCTCGGAGCTTCTCATATACAACCTTAGCATTCAACCCAATATTGTTTGTCATAGTTTCAACATATGCTTTTTATTACCACTCGTCACATAGTTCTTTTCACAATCTATCTCCCCAATCCTAATTACTCGTATTAAGACAACCAAAATCTCATAAATGTTAAGATGAGCATACAAGAATGCTAGAAAGAGAATATAAATAATGAAATAGTATCTGTAACAATTCGTTCAACATGGATAGAAGGTGAAAATTATTAACTACTTATAAGTTTTAATTAGTGGGCTACCAATAACTTCCACCGTGGGTTTAAATTGGATTCGAATTTATTGGGCCAACCTGTTGCTTTGGGCTTCAGGGGTGTAAGTTACACATGGTATCAGAGCCGATCCTTGTACCATCGGAATAGCGGGGCAAACCTTATCAGGCATGATGAGTCCCTCGAGAGGGGGTGTTTGTAAAATCTATAGGTGAATCACACATTGCCGATGACAAGGAGGAAGATTTTGAGCAGGCTTGACGAGGACGTCTGGAGTTTAAGTGGGGAGTTTGTAACAACTCGTCCCACATGGATAGAAGGTGAGACTTGTTAGCTTCTTATAAGTCTCAAGTAGTGAGCTACCAATAACTTATACCATATTTTTTAGTTACATTCGAAATTATTGGGCTAGTCCGTTGCTTTGGGCTTCGGGGCTGTTACATGTTTTATATATATGCGTTCCCGAAGTCCACATTCCCTCTGTATGGCGACATCGAGTAGATTCTATGATTATAACTTCATTTTATACCAGACCATGAGGGCTCTCAGCGACATCATTAGTTCAATGTGCTCATCTATACACTTCTACTGTGTCTACTTACATTTTAGTGGTTACAAGTGAATGACTACGAATTTCACGTAGAATGCTAAGTATAAATCTAGATATTTACAAAAATTTTCTAGCTACACAAGACCTAGAAGAATATGTATTCTAGAATATGCTCGAGTTTTTTGGTCCTTCTAGAAGATTTTACCATACTCTTCGATGCTTTGGATAAAACATTTGTACATGACAAATATATGATTTATGAGGTACCAACTAATTTGTCAGTTATTTTATGACAGTCATATAATAAAAAAAAAAATATATATATATATATATATATATATATATATATAAGTTTTTATGTATAAAATAAGCCGAAGAAATATCATCCACATAACATGGGAGAAGAAATACACGTGACAAACATTGATTGGCTGGTCTCCAAACTCTCTTTCTACTCCACTCAGAGATGAAATTACCTTTGTAACCTTTTCATTTCATTTTATTTTTATTTCTATTTTGCCAAAATTTCCGTTTTACATTTTAACGAACCCTGTGGTTCCTCCAACAATTCACCACAGGGAGGGGGAGGAGTCTGTTGGTCAACCCCATTCTGCGACCACTGACGATCCTCCTTCATGGCTAAATCCTCCACCGCCGGCAGCATCTCCGCCGTCTCCTACTCACCTTCATCGTCTTTATCGTCTTCTCCGGCCCTCCGATTCCTTGGTCATCTCACAGTACCGGAAAAATCGTCAGATCTCAATAACGGTGGTATCGAGGAGTTTCACGAGAGCGACGTTTTTTGGTCTTCATCATCGGACGTATCTGACATTCCTTCACCGTCGAACGTATCCAGTTCTCCACCTATTCACCGGCAATACAATTCCGGTCTCTACGCTGCGTTATCAGATGACCAGCATCCGCTGGTTCGACGAAAACATGCCATGAGTCCGTCCCAATCTGCCGCCACGGCTGCTCGGACGATACCGCCCGTTGCTCTAAGACGTTCTTCGGAGCATTCTGTAGGTTATCACCAATCGGCGCCGGTGAACGTGCCGGTTTGGCCGAAGAATAAAACGAACAATTATTTAGGGCAATTTGATGAAGTGGTTGATAACGTGGTGGAGGAGGAAGATGAGGGGGAGATGGTTCCACCACATGAGATCGTCGCGAGATCGTACGTGACGTTTTCTGTGTTTGAGGGAGCCGGTCGTACGCTCAAAGGCAGGGATTTGTGTCGTGTTCGCAACGCGGTGTTTCAAAAAACAGGTTTTCTTGATTGAAAACTGAAACCTTCTTATTAGTTTTGTAATCTATTGATTTTTGTACCCTAATTCCTCTTGGAAATAAAATTTTGTTTTCTGTCATAACAATTACGTATGTTTCACTTCATGAAAGTACTTAGTTCTTGTGAATGCTTAGTCATAGACAGAATACGATTGAATAGCCCATCTTTCAAATTATATTCAGCCATTTGCAATTATATCACTTCATATGGAGATGGGAAATAATAATGAAGGACCAATGATTTTTTTTGGGGGTGGGGGGGATCAGATGCTTCAATTTTACTGCAAACTCTTTAGCTAAATTATCATTGAGATGTTAAATGAGCTCATAGAAGGTGGAATCAAATGGGTTTGTGACTTGAAATTCTAAATGGTCTCGCTTGGGAAGTTTTTTTGATTCATGGCCATCTTAATCAGAAAGGAATTCATGTTCCTTCCAGGAGACCATTTGCCTTCCTGCTTGGCAACATGGTTTGTAAAGTAGAGCTTCTACAAGATTTGTAAGGGGATGTTTGGTTTATTTTCCATTAAGTTATACATGAATAAACTTGTGGTGTGGATTAATCCGTCTTTATAGATTGGGAAAGTTTTTGTTTGAAATGGTTTTTTCATAATTGGAAGGAGCTTGTTTTTATTTGGGATGAGCGGGCTTGAAAAAGACTTGGCTTTCTACATTATGCTCTCCTCTGAAAGCTTACTGAATAAGCTGCGAGTCCTATTAAGCTCATTAAGCTGCTAAACAGTCAGGCCCTAAGTGCGGTATCTTGACAACAGGAATGTTAAAAGAAATGACTCAACCTGCTATACCCTTCATCTTCCATGTTCCACGGACACCTACATAAAGTCTTTGTTAATGAATTACCTTCATGGTGTTTCTGTATTTTTTATCAAGTTGACCAGATGATAGAATTGGTACTTGTTACTTCTATTTCTGTTTTTTCTTGTTTTGTTGGCAAGACATCCAAGCTTTTGGTTACTCCATGAGAAGGTATGCTAAGGTATCTTGTTTCTTTCATTTGCTTGTTTTAATGAATCGATATTCTTGACGAAAATATCAAATATTGCTCATGTGATGTAATATTACAAGATCTAGGATGGTCCAGATATCTTTTGGGATTTGATTCTCCAGTCTGCAACTTGAAGGTACCATCTTTTCCTTTCATCTGGGTCCATCAGGACTGTTTCACCTTCATTCTTCTGTAATAAAACAATCAGATTTATCTTTTGTGTTGTTGTCTTTATCTTTTATAATTCCTATGCATGCTTTCTGGGGTTGCATCTTACGGAGTTGCCAGTTTCTCAATCCAGAGGAGTGGCTAATGAAGATAAAAAGTTCTAATTAATTAGTTTAAATTTATTTTGTTGAATGGAAAAACCAAAAGGAGGAACAACGAATAACTGGCAGTAGAGATGGAGAAGGCTTCTTTTCTATTTTCAATACTACATCGTAACACCATCTTTCTCCTTTGTTTGGAAATGCTGGGAAGTTCTTTTAGATGATGCTCTTATTTCGACTCTTTGCATTACAACCCTTGTAAATTGCGTCTATATTGTTGGTACCCGAATAGATTCTTACGTAATATAAGTAGTTAAGTCATCCTCCCGTGAAGGCAAAAGTTCTTTTGTTGAATCGGGATCAACTAGGACAGAAATAAAGCATTGGGTCGAACTTTTTATTGTTCAATAATTTGCTGAATCCGAATAAGAGACTTGAAGATTGTCTTTTTGGATATTCTGCTTTGTAATGAAGCTATTAGTGATGAAAGTTATGCAAAAAGTAGGCTCACTTTCATGTCTATAATTAGCTTTTGCTAGCTGTGTTGTTTTCTTGCAAAAGTTCAAGTAATGGAGCATCTCCTGGACCACAGAAAGAGGTTTCTTTCTTTAATTTTCGTTGGTGTACTGATATGCTTTTGATCTTGTTAGCTTATAGAAAACGTGCTAGATGAAAGGTATGGTTGCAGCTGACGTTGATTTATGTGAGAATGGGATAATGATGGAGCATCTTGTGCTTGATGCTTAGCAGGGCTACACTCATTGAATGGTGCATAATCTTTTCATGTCTTTTTCAACATGATGTGAAGTATTTAAAGTTGTGATTCCTATGACATGTTTGATAAAAGATTAATGAGTTTAACATGACTCACAACTTATTATGTCAGCTATGTATGATAGGACATGTTTATTAACAACTTAATGAGCTTAATAAGATTCACAGCTTATTCGATCAGCTATATATAATTGTTTGGTAGTGACTTAATGATATAGAAAGTGGCTTGTTTAATAAGCTTATAGGGAGGAGCTTTATGCAAAAAAAATTTAAGTTTTTTCCAAAACTGTCCATACCAATTAACCATTCACATTTTATAGTCCCAGATGGCTTTACAGAGCATTTGATCTGGTCACGAAGTTTTCACTGTTCTCGAAAGTGGTAGGACCATTAACCATTCACATTTTATAGTCCCAGATGGCTTTACAGACCTGCAGTCTTTTCTTTTGTGAAAAAAGTGCAAATTACACTCTTAGAACCCTTGAATCTTGATTCACATGTTTTCTACTATTACAATATTTGGTTGGTACAATTTTATGTTTATTACGCTTTCTATTTATTCTATATTACATGCGAGTTACAATCATCAGAGTTCTAAACTTCTAATCTTTATAACAAAACTGCCAAGGGATGTGTAATTTCGTTTGAATAATCCCAACTTCATTAGTTCTTTGTAGGCAAAAAGCTCATGCAGATAGGAGGTCTGACTCCAGCCAATGCAAGGATTGAGGAAGGAAGAATCCATAATCCATCACCACAAATCAAACCTGAAGCAACAGCAGGTACCATCAGGTTTGCCTTCTGCTTATTGATCTTATGCCATATAAACACAAATAGACTTCCCATACACATATCGATAGCGAAATAAGCCCCAACAAGAAACGGCACAGCCATAGCCATTGGTAACGGAATCCATGCCCCTATTTTCTTTGAAGAGGTGTCCCGTACCAAATTCGCCATCATGGCAAACGTAAAAAACCCATAACAGAGCTGTAAGCAATGGTGAGGCAGTGCAGAGAATCCTTCGACGCCTAGAATTGCCATATTGCGGTAAATAATGGCGTAAGGAGCTTTATATTCTCCATCTGGATTCCCAACATCAAATGCTTTGTAGAAAAGGAAAAACGTGAGAGGAGCCACCACACATCCGATGGCCGTCCCAATAGCTTGGCTAACCAGCATTGACCTAGGTGAAGTAAGGGTCAGATGACCCGTCTTGAAATCATGCATCAAATCAGAGGAAATCGAGACCATTGATTTTATCAAACCACATCCAACAAGTCCAGCCACAACACCATTTTGCTTTCCGGACATTGCAGCAAGCACAAAAAGAGCAACCTTCCCGTAATTATATGCCATATTCATGTCTGTTAAACCAGCACCATAGGCATTACAAAAGCCCAAAGATGGTGCAATAACATAGGCGACCAGAACAAAATACCATTTGAGCTCCGGAAACATGATTGGGATGATAATAATGGAAACAACCGAGAAGATCACATAACCAATCGCTGCAACCCAGAAGGGAATGCTTTCTCTCAAGAACACCTCGTTTTTTTGGAGGTTATCGAGAGGTTGATTGTTGCTATCTGGGTCTATTTAACATAGTACGAGATATCATTAGAATGTCATAAACAAACCAAACCAAACAAACCCACTATATCCAATCCGAATGTAGGACCATGGTTTGCACTAGAATGTCATGAAGTCTACAACTTTAAAGACTTTCATTATGCTTTTGCAGGTTTGAAGAACTTACTGGTTTTAGGGTTCTTTCTTGAGGTGGTATATATGTTTCTTGCAGTGAAGAAAGTGATCTTGAGAAAATTGTATAGACCATCTCCTAGGATAAGCGCGATCGAAATGAAAACCTGCAAATACAAGAACCTTTTAGACCTCAAAAGTCAAAACGCGTCTCTTTACAAAACATTCACCCCGACTAACCTTATAGCCATTTAGACTCTTCATGCTGCTTTCTGATAAACTTGCAGGAAACCAATTGCCTTTGCGGTCACCTATGAGTGGCCACATTACACCATATGATAGCACGGCTCCTGCAAGCAACGACAAGTTCACAAGATGCGAACATATCATTCCTGCTCCTATGTAAGTCATACTAAAATCAAAATAAAACCTGCACAGTAGCAACACATTCATATGATCAACATAGGATACTGTTTCATAAAACTACCCAAAATGTATAACCAAACAAACCCATTATACTACGTTCCATTTGAAAGCTGGGAGGGGTAGGATGTACTCGAACTAAATTGCTTACGTGTTTGCATATGCTGTTAACCCGAATGTAGGAAAGTATGTGAATCCACATTTGCCTGATCCTGAAAAGAACCACTGGAAACAAGCCCAAGCGAAACTCCCTGTGAAGAATTTCGCAAACCCCACAACTTGCTTCCTACAAGAATTGCATGTTCATTAGTGTTTGTTTATGTTCGTTTAGCATCTTAAGGAAAGAAGATAAAAACAAGAATATATCTTTTTTACATGTTCATCGGTTTGTTTACAACCCTATTTTAACGGTGGTGTGATACCTGGCCATTTTGTCTCCTTTGGGAGTATGGAAGCCATTGATGAGCACTGCTGTAGCTGTTCCACTTGGGTATGTCAATTTGTAGTCGATGATCATAATCTACCAAACAAGACAAAGTTATGGGTTGTTTGGTTGGCTTTCCATTAAGTCAATAAAAGATGTGTGCATTAATTGGAAGGTTTTTCAGGAACTTGGTTTTTAATCAGGTTTGAGTAAAACTTGGCTTTATTTATGCATAAAGCTCTCTAGAAACTTATTGTTAAGCCACTTTCCAGATAGCTTACTGAATAAGCTACGTCCTATTCAGCTGCGCTGCTAAGGAACAGGCCCTTCATGATGCTCAGAAACTGTATAATATACAAGTGAAGAAGCACAAGGTACAAACCTTTCTGAGAGGAACCAAAGCCAAAAGACCAACGAAGCTGGTAACAAACAAAAAACCAGTCATCCAGCCGATCCCAGGTTCTTTATAACTCCCAGCTGAATTCCCTTCTGTATCAACCCCTGCTTGCTCATATGTCTTCTTGTTTAATCCCAATAAATAAGACCCAAATCCACCTTCATAAATAATCCTTAATTAAATCAATAATCAAAACCTAAAAACATCATTCAAATAGAATAATCAAAACTGAACAAACCTCCAACGGCAATGCTGTAGCAAGCAACAGCACATGTCTGAATGATGGTATTCTCTTGTCTGGTAAACGGCGTCGTTACGAAGCCAGCTTTATGAACCAGCTTCGTCCATGTTCTAATGAACACGAAGGCCAAAAGTGCAGCAGAAACGTTGAGATTTGGGACCAAACCAGTCGTCAAATTAAGCTTCATTACGATCACACTGTAGATAATCCCGATCAATAAACTCGCCACCAGTCCTCGAATGGTTATGTGTTTGTTCCAGGGCTGAATCCGCTTTGAACTACCGTCGTTTTGGCCTGCCGTCGTCGTCTCCTCTTCCATTCTCTCCGTCTCATCAATCTCTCTGGAATCCTCCATTTTCTGAACCACTTGGGATCAAATCATCAAATTCCCGCTTCGTATTATAGATGAAATCGATAGGAATTTAAAGATCAAAATGGAATGTACTTCAAAAGGATGTGTAGTACATAATGGATCAGAAGTTGGTAGTACAAAAAGTTGAACATAAATCAACTGTGGGTTTTGTGGTTCGAGAGGTGGGTTGAAATACATATATCAGCCAGATGTTGACTTGCAAATTTTTCTTGGGATATATTGCATTTTCAGTCCCTGTGGTTTTTTCAAAAATTTCTCCTTATAATTTTGATATTAACAATTTTTTGTCTTTATAATTTATAATTAATTACCTTTTTCGTCCTTATAATTACTTTTTTCGTTTCTATGGTTTAGAATTCATTTCTATTTTAAAAAAATATTTTAACCTATAAATTAAAAATCATAATCTTGAAATGATAGGGATAGATCCGTAATTTCTAGCAAACTATAGGAATAAAAAACTAAATTTATCTATCCTCTTTTTCTTTTCTTTTTTGTTTGAAAGAGACCCTTTAGGTTGAGAATATTTTTCCATTCTTTCAAAAAGCGACCATTACCGAATCAGGTTTTTATTTTTGGACTTACTGTATATGTGACTTTTTTATAATATTAATGATCAACTCGAACACTAACTAAACGGTAAATATTTTCGGTATTTGTATTCATCAGTTTGGTTTCAGTTTAATCGATTTGATTTAAACCATCTTTTAGCTTATTACACACGATATGTGTACTGTTACATGTGTATTCATGTAAACATAGGGGCTTAATGATTTAAAAACTTATCAAACATTAAGTGTTGGATTCAAAGCTCGTATTAAATTGACTTCCTATAACCAAGGATGCTCATATCTTGATAATATTTGTGAGAAAATCTATCTAAATGTTTTCTTTCATTTGATTTTTTTCCCCATCTAACTATAATATTTAATGTATTGATTAATATATATTTATTTCATGATTTTTTGTTTCATGCATATTTGGTTTACAATGTGAAATTTTCATATGTATTTTTTATTTCACAAATCCGTCAAAGAATTTCATATTATAGACTGAGTATATGTGAAACAAATGTATGTGTGTCTACATATATATATATATATATATATATATATGATTTTATAAATATTTTTAAAAAAAATTAAGAAAGGTTAGATTTTAGAGTTTTAAGATTTTTTTTCTCAATTTCACTAGCTTGTTAAGAAAATTCCAAAAATAAAAAATAGAAGAGAAGATGGAATTAAATGGAGAAAAAGACGAATAGACTGTTTGACAGTTGCTGAATGGTTGAGTGTAGAATGATTAAGTAGTCAGAATGAAATATAATTGTTTAGTAATTGTTTACAATAAAATCAGGGCGTTGAATGGTTAGGGAGACACATGATACAAAATCATTCTGAGAGTTTAGAACCATTAAGAGACAAACTTTTTTTTGCCAAACAAGATTCACCTTTTAACGATTCAAATGTTACCTCTTAATGAAACTATTAAGAAGTAAACAAACAACCTCGAAGGCGTTGTTTGTTTCTTATAAAAAAAACTTCTTTATCAGGCTTTTATAGCTGATTTGTTAAAAGCTGGGGTCATTTACACTATTTGTTTTTTCAATTTTTTAAAGGTATTTACATCTTATTTTTCTTTTATCTAGTAAGAGGTAAACCAACATCTTATTTGTCTTTTATTGTTCCTCAAACTGTCAACAACAACATTTCTCAATTAATTAACGTTGATCGATCATTTCTCTCAATCGATTCTTATCTCAATCCTCACCTCTTTAATTGATATATTTTAATATGATTTAAATGTGTTAAACACCGTCAATGACATATTTTCGTTTAAAAGAATGCTAATGATATAATTTTTTTTATTAACCTGGATATCCAACTCGTTATGCAAGCCAACTAATTCCAGGACGACCACCTGCTTTGAAAGTAGCCCGGAGTCAACACATTTGAACTTTCGTGACCACAAGGGTATTTTTTTTTTCTTCCTTAGATAATGAATGATTTTGTGAAATTGTATAAATTTATCTATAAGTTCAACACTATAATTTTTTAATGGGTAAAACTGACAACTTAAACAAATTCAGACGTTTATTAGTTTATAAGAAACAAACAGTCTCATTGATTCAGATTTCAGAACTAGCCACCATCTCTTATAAATCAAAGGTGAAATAAGATTTTAGACTTCGCCAAATTTTAAAAAACAAACGCTACGGCAGACTTATTTATTCATTTAAAAGAAACGCTCCAGTTAATAAATTAATAAAATATAAAATGATAAATATTTTAATATTATAATTAATGTTAAAATTTATAAAAAAATTAATAGAGAAAGATAATAAAATTATTTTAATTTTTTTATGAAATTTTATTAAATATTTTAATATTATATTTAATGTTAAAAAAAATTAAATTGTGAAATTGTTATTTAGTATTTTTTTTTTGTACATTATTGAAATCTACTTTTATCTATACTATCTTATAAAGCAAATTTGCTAAATGTCTTAAAAACAATCTTGATTGCACAAAGTACTACTTATTTATGCATAAAGTCTTGAAGTCTTAAAAGTTTACAACTTTAACAGCATAAGGTATCAGTCCCCATTTCGCCACCCATCGTTATCAGTTATCATCGTACAACTCAATTTCACAGCCCCCAGGTGACAATTCCTTTTCTCGAATACTACTATTCAGTCGACGATTCCTTTTCTCCAAGACGACTATCCAGGCGCCCTCCCTCTCTCGAGATGCAGGTTTTATTTATGTTATGTTATTGCTCAATCGGTTTCTCATACGATTCATCTTGCTATTCAGGCGCTCTCTCGCTCCATCGATTTAGGGTTTCTTTGATAAAAGTTGTTTGTAAAGGTACTCCATCGATTTAGGGTTTCTTCGATCCTTTCTGTCCGATTTCTTTTATTTCTTTTAACGGAAGTTGTGTGTCCATTTGGTTTGATCCTTTCGATTTCATTGATTTCTTTGATATTTTTGTTCATGTTATGCTTAATTCATTGTTGTTGATGCCGATTAACATTTGATTTTTCTTGTTGATGCAACTTAACATAATGTCAATATCAGCAAGTAGTAAGTAGAGGTCCACTTGGTTCGATCCTTTTGGGCTTGAATCATATACATGATGGTTCGAATATTGAGGTTTAAATTTTGTTTTTGATACTTTGATTAAGATGCACAATCAGTGATTTTAGTAATTGTTCTTGGAGTTTCAAATTGAATATGTTTGGATGATGCTTATTCTTTGAATCTGGCATGCTTGCATTTTCAGGATGCCACAATGCTTATTCGTTTATTTGTTTGTCTTTATCTAAATACTAAAGATTCATTATTGTTTGGATTATAGTTTGCTTATATCTTGTTTTTGCCATTCTGACAATTTCTTATATCATGTCTTTGGTTTATGGTTTGCTTCTTTGGTTATACTACTTGCCCCTCATATACATGAAGTTGATCTGTAGGATGAGTATGTTTCAAACATGGCTAAAGCTCTTATATTTTCGCTATTTATTAGTAACTAGCAGATCGTTTGTTTTAGTTGGCTTCCATCTTATAGTTTTCTGAATGACTATTAAAAATGTTATTTATTCTGCAGTCATTTTGTCCCAAATCCAATGAGAGTTTGAGAAAGCACACCAAGTAAATCCTTTGTTTTTATTCCAACTTTCACCCTTAGCTTTGTGGTTGATTCATGAAGGAGTAGCTTATACCTTCATCTCATGCAGGCATATCTGGATTATCCTTATGGTAACATATGAAAGAGTGTTTGATTGGAGGATTGCAGGTAGATGGAGGTTTAGGGCCTTCTACCATTAAAACACAGGTGTTGTAGGTGCAAATTGCATTGTTGTTGGGAGTTAAGTGTTTGGAGCTGCAGAACAAGTGTGAATGAAGCCCAAAAACATTTATTTATTAAGCATATGCTAGATATAAAGTTTCCCAACGTGATGTACAATTTGATACCGCGAACATGATAAATTTAGGAATTGCTATTCTGATTCGCTTTCTTACATTATACAATTGTAGAGCTAGCTTTGTTAGATGTATTGATAAAATTGAGGTGGACTACTAAACTACTTGGATTTACCTGGCTTAAGTCCTGTCTCATACTCGGTCTGAGGTTTATCCTTTTGGTTTGGTTTCATTTCATATGGATTAAAGCTTTAGTTCTATCCTTTTTTTTTGGTTTGACAACATGGACTTTTGTAAAATATTGTGTTATTTTGCTGTTTGGGGGGTTATAAGGATGATCTAAATAGTATGCCCCCTGTAAAGAAATTGGTTGTCATCATAGTAGTTGAAGACAACAAAATTAAATGGAGAAAGCTACTGTTTTGGAAGTCTGTTGATAATTGTATGATTGGGAAGGCTGGCTGCTGGTACCTAACTGTTTGGAACTATACTGGATTCATAAACTCTATTATAGATTCCTGTTTTATTTGGAATTTTGGGATTTGATATAGAATTTTTGGTGATCAATTGATGCAGCTCACCAGCTATTCCTATGCTGCATCCATAAGGGATTTTTTTACTGTAATTGAATGGAGAAAGAAATTACAATATTACGGTCCATGCGATGTTTTTATTTTTGAATAAAATCTAAATTTGAAGATATCATAAAAATTTGACAAAATTACATCGATATTAGTATCAAATTAACTATTTAAAATTCATCATTTTTTGTGTAATTTTTTAATTCAATTTTTTTAATTATAATTTAATTTAAGTTCAATAACGAAGTAATTTATATTTTGTTTAATAATATAATTTTCTTATAAAGATAATAGTTAATTATTTTGTTAGAACTCGATAATTATCTTAATTATATTTTACATTTTTTATATTTTAAAATGAGATGTTTATCCTCTATTTGATTATATTTATCCACAGTTAGTTACACGAATTCAAACATGGCTTTAATAAGTTGTACTTATGCATAGTTTACTTATAATTTTGAATTTTAAGTAATATGCATCAATATACAGTACTTCATATAGAAAAAAAAATTGTTTTTA